TTAAAGCACTCCGTCATGCCATTTGTTTGAGGGTGGTACGTTGTACTTGTGCGGTGCACGATTTGACATTCGTTCAGTGATGCCTTCAAGGCGTCAGAAAGGAATTAAGGCACGGCCTCTGTCACTTAAGAGCTCTCGAGGGGCACCATGACGCCAAATGAAAGGTTGCAACAGAAACGTTCCAACGTCATGGGCTGTGCCAGTCGGCAGCGCGGCTGTTTCGGCATAGCGTGTCAGATGGTCTATCACAACACTAGTCCAGCGATTACCAGCTAGAGTTGATGGTAGTGGTCCGTAAATGTCAATGCCGACGCGATCAAAACGTCGACTAGGACAAGGAAGAGGTTGCGACAGGCAGACTTGCCCGGGAGGTAACTTTTGTTGTGGGCGCTGAGCACACGAGCGAATGGATTTCCGCACGTAGTTATACATGCCATGCCAATAAAATCTGAGTCGAAGCCTAGCATATTTCTTGAAGAGGCCTGCGTGGGCGCACTGTGGGTCTGCGTGAAAAGCTACGCAAATAGCAGCTCAAAGATGGCGGGGTATTACAAAGAGACACTTGCGACCGTCAGAAAGGTAGATGCGTCAATAAAGAAGATCATCGCTGAGGCAAAAGTTGCTAGCCTGGCGGCGGGGAGTGCGAGACGGCGAAGGAGTGAGAGGATCAGAAAGAATTCTTATGAGGCCACTGATTCAGGGATCATTTCGTTGTTCCACCGTCATGTTGCGCAAGGCGGATGACGCAAGTGCAGGCTCGAGGGAAGACAGGCAAACACCTTCATCTGATATGGGTGAGCGAGAAAGGGCGTCGGCGTCCGTGTGCTCACGATCGGATGTGTAAATAAGGCGAATGTCGTATTCCTGAAGCTTGAGCGCCCAGCGAGCAAGTCGTCCAGAAGGGTCTTTAAGTGTGGATAGCCAACAAAGGGCGTGGTGGTCAGTGACGACGTCGAATGCGGGACCACACAGGTAGGGGCGAAACTTTCCAAGGGCCCAAATAATAGCTAAACACTCTTCACTGGTCACGGAGTAGTTAGCCTCGGCTTTCGTCAAAATTTGGCTTGCGTAGGCGACGATATATTCATCAAACCCTGTCTTTCATTGCGTGAGCACAGCGCCAAGTTCAACACCACTGGCATCAGTATGAACCTCCGTGGGAGCGGCAGGATCGTAGTGGCGGAGGATGGGTGGTGAAGTTAGCAGGTGGCGTAATTTGGTGAACGCATCGTCGCATACTGGTGACCTGGTGGAAATGTCCTTGTCGCCGCTAAGAAGGTCCGTAATGGGCGCACATACGGAAGCAAAATTTCTAATAAAACGTCGGAAGTATGACGACAAGCCGACAAAACTTCCTTCAAGTTCTTTGGCTTCAAGTTCTTTGGCTTGAAGGAACAAAAAGTTCCTTCAAGTTCTTTGGCTTCAGAAAATCAGCGACTGCTCGAAGCTTGGCGGGGTCGGGAAGTATGCCGTCCCGTGATACGACGTGGTCAAGGCTGGTGAGATTCCGGGCACCAAAACGACACTTCTTGAGCTTGAATTGAAGGCCGGCGTCGGTGAGGTGTGTGAGGACGTGCTCGAGACGATTTGAGTGGGTGTCGAAATCGGTGGAAAAGACAACTACGTAATTGAGGTAGCATAAACATGTGTTCCACTTAAGGCCTCGTAAAATAGTGACCATCATTCTTTCAAAAGTGGCTGGAGCATTACAAAGGCCGAAAGGCATAACGGTAAATTCGTGTAATCCATCGGGTGTGACAAATTCTGTTTTCGGTCAGTCAGATGCTTCCATAAGAACTTGCCAGTATCCATACCGTAAATCCAGCGAAGAAAAGTATTCTACTCCCTGCAAACAGTCAAGGACGTCGTCTATTCGCGATAACGGGTAAACGTGTTTACGGGTGATCTTGTTTAAGCGTCGGCAGTCGTCACAGAACCGAATGGAGCCGTCCTTCTTCTTAACAAGAACGACCAGTGACGCCCAGGAACTGCTAGAAGGCTGCACAATACCTCGCTGAAGCATGTCAGCAACCTGGTCGTCAATAACATGGTGCTCTCACGCTGAGACTCGGTAAGGGCGCTGCCGTAGATGTGTATGGCTTCCTGTGTCAACCTTGTGAGATATGTTCGATGTGCGACTGAGGCCAGAGGCGTGGCTGTCAAAATAAGTAAGAAATTTCGCAGCAGGTTCACCAGCTGGCGTTGTTCGGAAGAAGACGTTGCGATATTGATGGAGCGGTGGAAAGCGTCAAGGAGTGACTGATCAACATCAGAGTCAGAAATGAGTGCGCTGAGGTCCGTAGAAAGTAAACTAGATGGAGCGTCAAAAATGTGACGGGCGTCGATCGGATGCACGTGACCGAGACTTTCACCATAGAATAAAGGTAAAGGCTCTTCTAGCGTATTGTACACGAGCGTCTTCGTGACGCCATGGTGGAGAGCAAGGAGAGCGACGGGCAGTGGAGAACATTTGCGTTGAATGAACAGGGCAGAGGGCGTAAATAGAACATCACCGTCGGAAATAGCGTGACACGACACAGTCATTAGCATAGAAGAGTGCGGTGGTACGGCGGTGTCGTCGGAAACAGACAGTTTAAAATATGGCAGGGAGGCTTCGACAGCGTCAACATCAGGAAGTGCAGATAGCTCAAGTTCAGCACGACAGCAGTCAATTATGGCATTATTATTCGCAAGGAAGTCCCAGCCGAGTATCATGTCATGAGAACACGAGGGCAGCACTACGAATTCGACAATATACACAATCCCTTCGATGATGACTCGTGTGGTACATGCTGCGAGAGGTGTTACACTTTGTGCGTTAGCCATTCTAAGACAGAGGCCGGATAATGACGTCATGACTTTGCGGAGTTTGCGGCACAGGTTGATGGAAAGGACGGATAGAGCAGCTCCGGTGTCGACAAGCACCATGACGACGATACCATCGACTCACACTTCAATGACGTTAGCTGGACAAGGGCGAGGACTTGTGCATGACGGCGGGTACGCAGTTCGTGCCTCGGGAACTGCAGCCATTAGTTTTCCTGGTTGGTGGGTCCGGAACGGCGACACATAGGGGAAAGCGAACGTCGACGTGGAGATGGGGAGCGGTGGGGGGGGGGGGGGCCGTGTGGACGATCAGAAGGAAAGGAAGAGGAAGGAGCACTTAAAGGCGTGGAAGAAAACTGAGGGTCGAATGTTCTGAGCAGCCTGGCGACGTTGACAATAACGTGCCACTTGGCCAATAACGCACAAGCAAAACCTATTGAACGGTTGTCGTAGGTCTGCCATTGGTCGAAGTAGACTCCGTCTTGCGGCTGGGGGGATGAAAACTGCGGCCGAGGTGGTATCGGCATAGGCGGCGGTGAATAGGTCGCCGGCGAAAAGGGCGGCGGCGAATACATAGACGCTGGTTGGAACGCAGGCTGTCGAGGTCGAGCAACGGCCTCGACGTACGTGAGAGGTGCGGCGGCTTGGGGCGGTTCTCGGGCGGGAGGAAGAACTTGTGCGACCTGGTCTTGAATGAAGTCGCGGATTGTAGACGTCAATCTACGTAGTTTATCGGGTACACAGGACATCAAAGAGAACTGACGAGCGACCTCAGTGCGGATGAACTCTTGGATCTTGGAGAGAAGAGGAGCATGGTCTTCTCCTATGACAAGGGTGGACAGGCTGGACAAAGAGTCGTCGAGCACCGAGCGACGTCGGGTGGAAAGACGTTGCCTGCACAACTCGTCAAAACTCTGGCATAACTCGGTCAGTTCTAGGACAGTGCGAGGACTCTTAGAAAGCAACATTTGGAAAGCGTCGTCCTCAATGCCCTTCATAATATGCTTGATCTTAAGCTCGTCGGACATCGACTCGTTGACTCGCTTGCAAAGGTCCAGAACGTCCTCAATATAGCTTGTGAAAGTCTCACCAAGCTGCTGGGATCGAGTAGGCAAGCACTGTTTGGCACGGCGTTTGCGTACCTCAGGCCGTCCGAAAACTTGTATGAGGCTCGTTTTGAAGACAGACCATGTAGGGAGTTCCGCTTCGTGGTTTAAAAACCACAGCTTGGCCACGTTTGACAGGTAGAAGGAGACGTAGGCCAACTTGGCGGCGTTATCCCATTTGTTGTGAGTACTCACTCACTCGTACATTGAAATCCAGTTGTCAACGTGCTTGTCTTCTGTGCCTGAGAAAACAGGGGATCTCGCAGACGCAGAGAACCGGCACAGAGAACAGTAGGCGGAGCCGGTGGAGGAGTTGGAGCGGCGCTTGCCTCGGTAGGCATAATGGATGGTAAAATGCGATTTCGAAGCTCCAGGGTGATCGAAACCCAGCAGACTGCACCACTTGTAACGGGGTTTATTTGCAAAGCTGAACGCATAACGTGAAGCAGTCAGCAGCGTCTGGCCAAGCGCAGCAAGCACGAACTTATGCTGATGGCGATGCCCCTGAGGCACCGAGAAATGGCGCTGACGCCCCTCTCCTTCACTACAATATGTGTATATATATATATATATATATATATATATATATATATATATATATATATATATATATATATATAGGCGTGTGTGTGTGTGTCTGCGTAAAGAAAAATGTGTACGCTTGTCAAAAACTACTGATTTGTCAATGTGTCAGTCGGAGTCAGATCTTCATGAAGAGGTCTTGATGAACACTGGTCCCCAATTGAAACTTCGGCCAGCGTACACGTTTCCGCTATTTGTATACGGCAACAGAAGACAGCCCTTTCGTAATCTACGTTATGTGTGCGTGTGTACTTGTGTGTGTGTGTGTGTGTGTGTGTGTGTGTGTGTGTGTGTGTTTGTGTGTGTGTGTGTGTGTGTGTGCGCGCATCTGTGTGGGACACAGAGCAAACAGTGGCTCTCGAATGATATGTTAATAATTGTACCACAACTGCTTTATTTAACACCAGCGTTGCACGAACCGTCCTCAAAAACTCATATACAGCAATACCAGCATTGAGTGTTCTTCATTATATTTTTCTTTCACAGGGAAACCACACTGCATGATATGGGGAATACGATCCGGTGAAAAAATTGAAGAGAATGATTGCTACAACAGCTCCTACTCAACCTGCGGTGAGCTCTCTATAGCAATAGAAAACCCAACGACTGATCCTTGCTATTCATACGATGTAAGCGAGGAAATTGCTACAAAACTTGCTTACGAGAAAGAAGGAATTGTAATATAGCCATTATGTGTGGCAACCAGTCCATAAAAGTAACTAAACTACCGTGCCTTGGAGTAATAAACTAGTATTTATAAACAATTGTTGAATACTATCGTTCTTACTCCTTCACTAAAGGGTTAAGCACAAAAAACACTCCATATAAATTTAAATAGCGCTGGGCGCGCAGCCTTTTTGCTGAATAATTCATCTGATTTTCATGTTGTTCTGGGGCTGTGAATTTTAGAAGCAAATGTTTGAAATGAAACTTGAACCTATCACTTTGTAAAATTGCGTCCATTCAAATAAATGTCACCGCAACGGTTTACCGAAGGCCTGACTCGAACGAACAATGCGTTAGGACCATAGAGAGTTGAGAGTTTCAGCAGAAGCACACCCTCAGCCTATGAATTATCACTATAGCGGGCTTTAACTTACCAGACAATAATTGAGACACAAAGCAATATACAACATACGCTTCCGAAGCGTTGATTGCTACAATGGTAAATGTTATTCTAGAGAAAGTAGTCAGCCAAACGAAGCGATCGCAAGGTACTGCAAACAACAAACACATCAAAAACTGGCATTATTGAAAGACTATCCGACCACGGTATCCCAATATTTCAGCTCAATTGTCATGTTGTATTTCGTAAAAGTTTTTTAAAAGCAAAATTATTGACTTTGAGAAACGAAAAGACGCTGGCGTTCTTACTTACCTGGTACACGAGTTCACAACATTTTCTGAATTGGCTTCTGATCTGTCGGCAGACATGAATGCCGTCTGTATGAATTGTAAGGGAATGAAACATGACTGCGTTACGAAATTGACACCGTTAAAAACTAGGAAACCAAGAAAGTACAACCTATGGGTAACTGGTGAGGTTACGCGTGCGAAAAAAAATGTAAAAGTTACGCCGCTCACTGAAGTACACAGAAATCAAATCTGTATAAGAATCTATGGTTTTAAAGGCCAAGCAGGAGCTGAAACACAAGCTGAAACAGTCACGGAAACCATACTTCAACACTATCCTACCGAATTTCCGAAAACTAATCTACTCATATTTCAGAATCAATTTCGTGTACGCAGTAAATCAATCCCAAAACGCACTCACAATGAAAACGTTGTTTAGGCTGATGCATTAAAAAAGTACTCTGAATCTGTATTTATTACGGAAAACGAATTTGCTCTATCAGCTGGTTCTACGGCTCCAGCATTGAGCCAATTACCATATCCAACTCGGGATTATAAAGCCTTTTACTTGGATTAGACGCGAAAAAATCAATCAGCTATGACAACGTTACAACGAGTTCCTGAAACAATACGCAAAATGGTGCAGCCGATACCTTGCTATTATCTTTCGCATTTCACTTTCAACTACACGTATGCCAAATCACTTTATTGAAGCAAAGTTGATACATATTCATTAATCAGGTGATACATACTCGCCTTCTAACTATCGGCCCATACCTCTTACCAGTACATAATGTAAGATTTTATCAGTACAAATGCAACCTTGTGTAATGGGTCTGGTATCTTTGGCCTCTCCCCCGTAGACTCTGAGCAATCATGTGATGGCGGCGCGGAACGAGGTCCTGCAGGTGCGAGAAGATTCAACCCGTTGTATCCTAGTGAGAACACGCTGGTAAACACTAGGGCATTCCGGCCTGCCTAAATTATTGTGTAAGAGGTGGTGGCCTCTCACTTTTACGCTCTCTTTAAAATCAAGTGATGACGTCGGTGAACGATATCTTGCAGACGTGCGATAAAACATTGGACTATCACATGGCGTGGCAATAAACCCACATGTCGTTCTCCAACAAGAGTTTGGGACAAATGACGGCAACAAAAACTAAAGTGAAGTCATGTTGTGCTCCATTTGCAATGACGCAATAACATCGGGCAAGATGCCCGTGATACACACCTGCGCTCTTTTGCATGACACTCATGGTTTTCTTCAGTGGGAAATGGTATAATTTCTATGTATTCATCGAGCCATCCTTGTGCGTGAACACCTGAGCCCACAACGTTATCAAAATTTTGATTAGCTGGCCATCATCTTGAAGTACACAAGAGGTAACGAATTCACTACGGCATAGGCAAAGACCTAAGAATCACAGGGGCGGAGCTCTAGCTATGGGATGATGTAGAAATCAAAAGGGAACGAGAACAGCGTACTTATTATCTTGATCTCATGAAAAACCGGCTAAACAAAATCGCAAGAAATTAGGTGACAAAAAAATGAACGCACAAGGCCAAGATCGAGTTCTTCGAGAAGACTTTTGGTTTTCGAGGCACGTTGTTTTATCCAGATGCGGAACAAGCAGTTACTACGCCGGCTGGTAATGTTTTCAAGCTCTATGAGCTGATTTTGCCATTCAAAAAGTAGGATATACTTTAAACTCGTACTTGCAGCCCTTCGAACGAGTTTCTACCAGTCAAGAATGACCCTGTATAAAATGACCGCAATCCCGCAGGGTAGGTCTGATAGGAGACGTCTTAATGGGGATAATGACACTCGCTTCGACGCAGCCAGAGGGTATGGCAGCTACACTATGACCAACTTCCGCAATTCTGTTACACTGCTGAGGCATACGGGAAATGCTGCGAACTGCGAAACTCGAAGACACCACGACCGCCATACTGCATGCCGGAAGAATATCGGGCAGCTTTAACCACTGGTTGAAGCCGCGCCAAAAAGAGAAAAATCTTGATTCTCTTCGAGACGCCATGATTGGTCAGCAATTCTGTAGTCGGTACTTTGCGCCTGCTAAAGTATTGCCTAAAGAAACAGATTATAAGACCGTAGTCTTTTTGGCGAGTATTGCCAACTGCTTCATATACGCACAGTACATCACTAATGTGAGCAAGTATGAACGCGATAGCGTAAGAGAGCTCGTGTCGCTGAAATCTCGCCGTCGGCCCCGTAGGTTGTGAGTGATAAATCGTCTTTGCGTCTGTGAGTGAAAAAGCAAGTTACAGAGATCACTGTGGGAGACCGCTACTTGTCCACGCGTGCGCACGCGATCACAATGGGAAAGCTGCGCATTCATAGAAAAAAAAACTGCTCAAGGTCACCAGGTGCGGTAGTTTCTTTGCGCCCGCCTCCCCTCCCTACTTAGGTTCCAGTGCTTTCGTCGGTACGATAGAAGAGATAGTGCAATCGGAACATGCGACAAAGTTTTAAAACTCCACTCGCACTGAACAAATTCTTAAAATTTTTGTGATGTTCAATTTGTGAGGCAACAAGCTCTTTAATGAATTAATTCCATGGTGACTTGAAAAAGTGTTTCGGGGCACCTTTAACGCGTTTTCTTCGACAGGTGTCATGACAAAAACAAGCCCATTCGGCGATTTGTAGGCACAATTGGGAAGCCTCAAATTACGTTGAAAAAGGCCAGGATAGTGCAGCCATCACCGCTAAAACACACATTTCAAACAGCTCTAAAAATGAACAACAATGTACATCTAGCGGAAATCATATTATGAGTTTCCAGAGGCGTTCATCAAGCAAACAGGAAACGCCAGATAATGTGCTGCTATCTGTGAGGCATTGTGAGACACTTTATGGCCTCCAAGATGGCGAGCACGCGGCGTGTATCTTGGATGCCATGCGACTCTTGCTTTAGATCAAAAACCTGTATGTACCATTTGCATGCGCGTGTTGGTATGATCTACGGTGTGCTTGTGTTTGTATGTAACAAAAACATATTAATAAGTATGCACTTAGCGGTTGAAGCGCGCACTATGGGCCGGATTTCGCTATCGCATTCAAGTCTTAAAGGCGAAGTTAAGGGTGCCCCAATTTTTTAACTACTAAGGAGGTCATGGTGTAGCTTTACCAGCAGTCATATCTCCCAAACAAGACGCTGACGACAGCTGAGTGGTGTTTTCTCGGTGATAGTACTTGACATTAAGCTGCCGAGTGCTCGTACCACATGATGAGCATCCTGCATGATATGACTGGTTCCGCAAAAGTGGACGGCGCGATAACCCGAGACAATGAGCGGGAGAAGCACACCTACCATTTGTACTGCTGTCATCGCAAGCAGAACAAGCGAACGCAGAACGTTATCGCTCTGTCGAACTAGAAAGCCGGGAGACAGTACGAATAGCACTCTAAAAAAATATCGACTAAAAAGGGTGTCTTTGTCCAACAACAATAATCGTCATCAGGCTTGCGTGCCCGTCTTTTCTTGAAAACTCGGCGCTGGCTACTTTCCTATTGAGAATGCAATGTAACCCTGATAATGGGCATGTCGATCGTGACCGGAATGCACCGGGCGCGGGGCGATAGCGCAAAAATTGAACGCAATATAGATGACGATTATTGTTGTGGGACAAGAAGACACAATTTTTACTCGCTCTTTTTTTAGAGTGAGAAAGCACTACATTATTGAGACCAATGCCCTATGGTGAAAGCAATAATATGCCAGTTGTAAGAGCATTCCTGGAATCACAACGTGTCTTTGTCTCACGAGGCACTTCATGCAACACTATGGTCACGTGACACGTCTTCATCTTTAAGTGAAAATGACTGGGACTGAAATAACGGCACTTATTTTCGATTACCCAGTTCACCATTTGCCGGAACTGACAGTGATTTTAAACATTGCCTTCTTCACAGCATCCCTCGTGCTGAATGTATATGAGGGATTTTTTACTTGACGGCGTGCTCAGAAATAGTGACGATGCCTGTCTACCTAATTAAACACGCGGCTATTTCTGAAGAAGCTAAGGCTACTGAAATGAATTTCTCAACCATGAGGTTGTCACGATTCTAATAAATATGTCTACTAGACAAAAAGCACTGTGATGTATGTGGCTACAAGTTCAACCTCACGCAAAACAAAAGACCAGACGCGTCGTGAGCTGACATCATTGCTGTGATAAGGACCACGTCTGCACAATCGCTTCGAACACTGATGGTACGGCAGCCCATGGTCGTCACATAGGTAAAGTAAAGAAAATGGAACGTCTTGCAAGAGCGAAATTCGTTCGTGACGCATTGCATGAAGAAGATCAACAAAATAGCAATCATGAACGAACACGAAAATAAATATTACTGGTATAGTGACACCCTATACACCAAGTAAAAAATAGCACGT